TGTGCTGATTCCTTGATTACTAATTACAAGTGAAGAAGCTCAATTTGTCATCCACATCGCCCTGGCTTGTACACCTTTTATATCTTTGTGCTCACCAAGCCTGTTTATGCTGTGCCAGGTTAAGCTGATTGCTTTGTTAATTATGCTAATTCCTGCTAATTGACTTTTATATTTTTTTTTGAGTCTGTTGAACATGGACCCTTTTTTGTTGCTTTGAGTTATGACTTTTGTTTTTATTGGGTCTCTGCTTTCTTGTTGCAATTACTGGTAATTAACAGTGGTAATTAATAAAATGTCTTGTAATGCTATAAAGGCGATCTTTATGCATCTAGAAAAAAAAAATGGAATTCCCTCATTAGCCACATGATTTCATGTCTAGTGAGCCAGAAGCCCTCTATTATGACAATTTTTACTTTTATATAAATCCTAGGTAGCTCAGTACCTACTCGGCATTATCCATTTTCAGCATGTTTGGAGAAGTCCAGTCTAATGAAAGGGCAGGATGTGCTTGTAAAGTAAACCGAAGAGGTTAGAAATCTAGAAGCCATTACAGACCTGTGTAGAGATGTGCGATCTAGGGCTGATTCTAGATTGGAAGTTGCTGCCCTGGAACAAGCATGCAGCCAGTAAAGTTAGAATTCCATCCCAATTTGTTCCAAGGCTGTGGCCCTGAATCCACATCTTTAAAAAACCTGCAAGTGCAGCTCCTATATTTTAATTTAAATCTGTTTAAACGCTAAAAAATGTGAAAGCATACCCAAGGAGGTATTACACATACAGAGGGTATAGAAAAGAATGCCCCCCCCCCCCCCTTTTTAAAATCACATTTTGTTGCTTTACAGCCTAAAATGAAGACAGTTTGTTTTGTCCACCTGTATTTGCTCAGTGAAACTTATACATAAGGTGACATCCAAGTGAAAGATGTCAGAAAAAAATCAAAAGCAGAATCACGGAGTTGAAAAAAGGGTTTTCTCCTTCTAAAAAATGACTTGTAAGCTCAATCAGGTGTAGCTAATCATGTTCTCAATACCACACAAAGCCATTTGACTTTCAACTGTGAATCAGCTGTGGTCATTTTGATTAGCTCAGCATGAAAAGCTTTCCAGGAGCATTTCAGTCCCTGGTAGAGCAACTGAAGCAAACAATCAACTATGGGTGGCGAGGCACTGTCAGAACATCTCCAGGATAAGTTGTGGACAGGCACAAGTCAGGAGATATGTACAAAAAAAGTCAAAGGCTTTATCAATGCCTAGAAGCATAGTGAATTTTGTTATTGAGAAGTGGAAAGTATTTGGTACAACAAAGACCCTCTCTGGATCAGGACATCACTCCAACACTCCAAACTGGATGAAAGGGCCAGGAGGCTAAGAAGCTAAACTATCCCTGTTACATTGTCCGATCCAGGTTTTTCTCTTATCAACAAAAACTTGCTACCTACTTCTTTATTTCTGCTAAACACACCATAGCCAAGGAGTGGAAGAAACCATCAGTTCTTTTTCAAGCAGTGAAAACCAATTTGACCACCTGGATGTTGCATGAAAAAAATGTCCAGTATTTTACATGATTCTTTTTATTTTTTATTATTATTATTATTATACAGTATTTATATAGCGCCAGAAAGGTTTGCTCAGCGCTGTACATTATAGTGGGGGACAGAACATGAGACAATACAGTAACAAAACAATACACGAGGGGTTCAAGGGCCCTGCTCTTTTGAGCTTACAATCTAGGAGGGAGGGGAAAGTGGTACAGGAGGAAGTGGCTGTGGGGGATGGAGTGGAGGAGATCGGCTGTTAGGTGAGGGTGGGGTAGGCTTCCCTGAAGAGATGGGTTTTCAGGGTGCGCCTAAAGGTGAGGGTAGGTGACAGTCTGATGGATTGGGGTAGTGAGTTCCAGAGGATGGGGGAAGTCCTGGAGAAGTCCTGCAGTCGGGCGTGGGAGATGGAGACCAGGGAGCTAGAAAGTAGGAGGTCTTGTGAGGAGCGAAGATTACGGGTTGGGTGGTATTTGGGTATCAGGTCGGTGAAGTAGTTTGGGGAAGCATTATGAATGGCTTTGTATGTCAATGTTAGTAGTTTGAATTTAATGCATTGGGCAATCGGGAGCCAGTGGAGGGAATGACAGAGGGGGGTGGCATAAGAGGAGCGGTTGGTAAGGTGGATGAGTCTGGCCGCTGAGTTCAGGATAGACTGAAGCGGGGATAGTCTGTGATGAGGTAGGCCGGTGAGAAGGGAGTTGCAGTAGTCCAGAAAGGAAATAATGAGGGAGTGAACGAGTTGTTTAGTAGTGTCTGGGGTTAGGAACGTACGTATTTTGGAGATGTTGCGGAGGTGGAGTCTGCATGAGTTTTCCAGCGATTGGACATGGGGTTGGAAGGACAGGTTTGAGTCTAGAGTGCCACCTAGGACTTTGGCTTGCGGGGTGGGACTGATGGTGGCGTTGTTGGTCGTGATGGAGAGTATGGGGGGGGGGTGGGGGCGGGCTGGGGGGAAGATTAGGAGCTCGATTTTGGAAAGGTTCTCATGCTAAATTTTTTGAAGATGTGGTGGTCATATGCCCTTCCTACCCTGTCCCCACTTAGCTTGGCGAATCCTAGATTTTGACTCTTACCCAGGCCTGCAGGAACCTCCACCGTCCCTTCCTCTTCTCCCTCCTCTTTCTCCCCTCCTTTCTTTTCTTTTTGCCTTTCTTCTTTCTTGTCTTTACTAGATATTCCCATTTGATTCCTTTCCATACTTCCTTGTATTGAGCTCCCAGGCCTTCGTGCCTGGGACACCTAGGCAGACCCATGGCTTCTGTCGTACGGCCACACTGAGGATATTTATTAATGTTCAGAAATGTTGCAGTTGACATCTACAGGCTTTCATTACTTGCCCTTTTTTCCATTCTGCTGCGTGGGCGATCAGTTTTATTGTCATCCTGCATACAACAAAATTATTGTACCAGAAAGAGCCAGCAGGAAACTGGTCAGAGAGGCAACTAAGAGGCCTACAGCAACTCTGAAGCAGTTCCAGGAATTTATGACAAAGAGTGGTCATTTTGTGCATGTGACAACATCACACATTCTTCACAAATGTGGCTTGTATGGGAGGGTTGCAAGAAAAAAGCCACTCAAGAAGGGCCACATGAAGTAAGGACTGAGCTTTGCCAAAATGCACCTTGAAGATTCTGAGGCCACATGGAAAAAGGTGTTATGGTCAGATGAGCCTGAAATTGAATTTTTTGGCCTCAACACTAAACCATATGTCCAGTGGAAAACCAATGCAGCTCACCATCCAATTAACACGATTCCTACAGTAAAGCATGGAGGTGGTAATATCCTATTATGGGGGTTTTCTCTTCAGCAGGGACTGTCTGGAGCACTTGTCAGGATAGAAGGAAAATGGATGGGGCAAAATACTGTCAGATACTTGAGGAACATCTGCTGCTGCTCCTCTGCCTCTGCTGTACTTCCCTCCATGTGTGATGAATTGTCAGTACCCACGCAGCTGGTGTAGCAGCCCAGGGATGTAAAATTCCTGCTCGTCTCCCTCTTCTGCAGGGATGGATCAGAGCGATTACTATTTGCACCAGCACAGAGAATTGCTCTGATCCATGCCAGAAGCCCTACAGAAAGAAGGGGAAGAAAAGTGGAGGTTTCAGATCCCCAGACAGCTACACTTGACTGCGTGAGCACTGACAGCTCATCACACATGGAGTTAGGTACAACAGTATGAGTTCACTTTTTTTTTTTTTTTTTTTTTTTTTTTTGAAAAGGTGAACTTACATTTTAACACACATGTTGATAACATGAACCACATTATTGATCGTTATTGTATGCATAAAACATAACAAATTCCCTTTTAATCTCCACCTCCCCGAGCTGTAATTAACAGCAATAGAATGTCACCATGTCCTTCCCATCCTCATCTTGAAATTTTGCCAAAAATACCAAAAATTTAGTTTGGGCCAGTGTGGTTCAAATGATTACTTATGCCTAGTGCACACTAACACAAAAATCAGACAAAAAATACTGCTTTCGAAGCAATCATATCATAATCTGATCATTCGTACACCGCTTTCGAGAGCCAATCACGACAGTTCATGCAAAATTATCCAAAGGGAAAAACACGAAACCTTCTCGTTTTGATACCAGAATGAACGATTTTTGTTTAATCAGTACAGTATTTGTCAGGAAAAAAAAATCGGAAGACCAAGACTGCGCATGCTCAAACAAAAGAATACATTACAATACAGTAAAATACATGACATCACTTCTGAAGCTGTATTCTGACTTATAAGACTTTTCGTAGCTTAGTAACCTCTTCATTTTCTATAGACTAGAATGCCAACAAAAAAAAACTCCTGCTGATCATTTGTCTGATATTGTCACCATGTGTATGAGGCATTACAGTGCTCTGGCCAGTGTGGATGTTGTAATACAGTTCAGCAGCTTGTGCTGCATGCAGTCATCTGGGTTCCTGGCCGAGTCCTACACACTTTCCTTGTGTGGCCGGAAGGTAACAATCAGTCATGTGGTAAATAAGCCATTCAGCAAACACCTTGTCTTTTTATGAGTGAGCATAAGGCTTTTTTTTTTATTGGCCAAGGTGAATCTTGTGACATATTGGGTAGAACATCGCAGGCGTATTGACACAGCATAAAATACCACAATACAAAGGACAGGGCTTTAAACTCTGCAAGTAGATCTTGAACTAGAGTCCACAAGAAATACAAACCTCTGGATGGCGTAACCCAAAAATATCCTTCTGTAGCCAGTACTGGCCATTTAATTATTGATATTTAGCAGTGTAAGCGTATATTAAAATCAGGACAAAGACCGTAGCTCATGTCATTTTGTTATTTTATTCACAGACCTGCTATAGGGATTTTTATCTTTTTTTTTTTTTTGTTGAAATATAATTGTTTACAGAATGAGATATACTATTTTCTTTTTAACGTTGTATAGATCAGTCATTACATGTGTTTTTTTTTTTTTTTTTTTTTTTTTTTTTTTAAAGGTCTGTCACATGAACAGAACATGGAGAAAATGAGACTTCTAACATTCATGGGAATGGCTGTGGAAAACAAGGAAATTTCTTTTGATATCATTCAGCAGGAGCTACAGATCGGGGCAGAGGATGTGGAAGCTTTCATGATTGATGGTAAGTCATGTTCATGCTTCCCATGAAAACAGATCTTCACCCTCAGGAAAGGCTTCCCTCTTATCCATTCCTTCTCCCCTCTGCCACCAGAATAGGGTTTTTTTGTGGGGGGGGCAAAACGAGTACAGCCCCTCTCCCTGCACATCATTCAGCTAGGTGACTAATGTGCGCTGTCCTCGCTATGCATGTCACATATTCCAGGAGGCATGGGGGTTATTTGCTAAAACTGGAAAATTTGGTGTTGCCTCTGCATAGAACCAATCAGCTTCCAGGTTTTGTCAAAGCTTAACTGAACAAGCTGAAGTTAGAAGCTGATTGGCTGCCATGCACCGCTGCACCAGATTCTGAGTGCACCAGTTTTAGTAGATCTACTCCACAGTGCTTTATTCAGAAAGGGGGCGTGCCTAGTGCCACATCATTAGGAAGCATGCCGGCTGAACCAGGAGGAGCCAGCAGAGGCCTCTTGATGTCACAAGCAACATGGTAGTGCAGGACAAAGCGGTGGAAGAATACAAGAAGATCTCAGTGGGACGATGCTGGATCCTCTGAGTGGGTAAGTATTGGAAATGTGCACAACGGATCACCTGGTAAATGGACGGGGAAAAAAGATGGGGGGCACGCAAAGATCCACTTGACACACCTAAGAATGTAATGTAGCATTCTGCCTAAATGTGATTTAACACTGAGCATAGGCTCTCATATTCTGTTGCTGTTGTGATTTGTTCTAATGTGTAATTGTATTGGACAGTGAGGTTCTAATATTTTTGTGTTGGGACAAGTTCCTTCTACCCAGAACTTGGCTGCCTCAACTAGTCTCTTGCCAGGATTTTGTTGTAGATACACATATAAGCTTTTTCCACCCAACTCTGAATACATTGTATATTGTAGGAAACCTCGTGCAACTTTTTTTTTTACCATGAAGTTCCTGGTCTTTAGGCCTGAAACTTTGGTGAAGTGTTCCTCACTGTTCACCATGAATTATCTGAGTGGATTTGGAGTATCTGAGCCAGATATAATTTTGGCGATTTTTGGAATGGACTTTCAGAGCTCATCGATGGAGAATTAAAATGAATGCTGGGAGATGCATACCTCCAGACATCATAATTACTGGATATGAGGCGTGTTTTTTTTTTTTTTTTTTTAAACCAAATTCTGGTCTTGTATACATGCAGCAATGGCCAGCTAATGTCTGCTCCCTGCGAAATTCAGATATCTTTACTGTCGAAAGCAACGTCGGAAGGCATTACTTTGCTACATTGCTCTCTTATACTAACCTAAGCTAGACTGAACTTCATTTGTCAAGAGATCAGACAAGAACCAAATGAATTAACAACCATGTAGAATCTTTCCCAAACCACACTAGGGACCTGAAAAGTGAAATCTGACAGAATGCTGTGGCAAAACGGGGCCTTATTTTGGACAATTTGATGAATGAGGTATAATTTTGTATTTTTGTATTGCTTGTTGGGTAAACATTTTTTGCTTTGTCTATGTATTTTTGTAGCTGTGAAAACCAAGATGGTATTCTGCAAGATTGACCAGACGCAGAAAAAAGTTGTTATAAGGTAATGTATTCATTTCTCCTCTATAGTTTGCAGTCTAGTGTGTTTTAATTATTTCTCGTAATATATCTGTTTAATATTTTAGATTGTTCCCATCATGTGCTTGTAGTTAAATGCCAGCTATTTATCATAATTTTATTAAGGCCCAGACCGAATGTGATTAGCTTATTTAATGAAAGTGTCCTATTTTCCAGCACATTTCACTTAATGACCGTGACAGTGGCCTGAATGCTAATTAGCTACACGTCTTGCTATAGTGGCTTCATAAAATGGGAATTGTGCTGAGAAATCCTCTGTGCAAAATAACATTGTCTGAATGACTGAAGGAAAAACTTGGCCTTGTTGTAAGAGTTTGTCTTTCTTCTATTCTTTTGTAGTCACAGCACACACAGGACCTTTGGAAAGCAGCAGTGGCAACAGTTATACGACATTCTGAACTCCTGGAAAATTAACTTGGCTAAAGTGAAGAACAGTCTACATAGTATTTCTGATGCTTGACCATTTTAGCCATTTCTCTTAACCAAGCTGAATATTACCACAGCTCTGGACTTTAAAGACCAATTCCACCCCCAATACAGATATGTCAGTTTTATGTGGTTGCTGGCAAGTTGAATCATATGCTAACTTTATTTTATTTTATTTTTTTTTAATGCTAGTAGTGTACTCTCTATTTGCAAATGCCATAGCTGGTAGCAGCAGTTAGAGGAAAGGGGCCTTGGTTATGGGTCAGGAGGGAGGGGAGAGGAAAGGGGCCTTTGGTTGTGGTTCAGAAGGGGAGGGGAGAAAAAGTAGAATGAGAAAATGTCACCAATTAGTGATATAAGATGATTTAACCTACCAGTTCTTATCTAAACTGAAGTATATGTTTTTAGTAGAGTTGGCCTTTAATGTGTTTCACCCAAGTCTGTACTAGCTGTCCTCAGTTGCTAGTTGTTTTAAATTATGGAATATAAATTCTTTAAGGAAAGATATTGAACACTTTTGTAATCCTCATTGCCATAGGTGTATGATAAGACACTGGGTTCTATCAGTGATCTATCTCCATTACTGTGACACTGCTCCCTGGTCTTGCTGTGTCTGTTACTTCTGGAACTGATAAGATGCAGCCTTTGGTTTGTGCCTGGCCTGAAAAGCTTGACTCTTTGGGCAGTTTCACAAAGCCTGAAATACAGGGAAATTTCTCCTTTACAAAAGCCACACTATTCATTTTTGACATTTGTAAGCGACCTGATATAAAATCTGAACATAACATCTTATGGCGTGTGTGGTGTTTATTTGATTTGTTTTTATTTCTGTTTTGTTGTATTCTGAACAGCTCAGAGGCCAAGTAGCTCTTCATATTGCAGCTAAATGTATGTATTGCAAAGTAGTTAAAGCATATATATCTGAATTTTCACTTGAAATTTTAGGGCTAAAACTGGATTTACTAAAAAAAAAAAACACATTTGAAGTTGATGAAAATAGATTTGCATATCGGCCCACCTCCACTTGAATTAAGCGTGGTCACCGTAACCAAACACAAACAACCTGTTAGTGACAAATATTCTCTGGGCTGGGATGCCAGAAAAGCAGTACTAAATTCAAAATATATCAAACAATAATATTTTATTAATATTGGTTAAAATAACTACCAATGTGGATTCCAAGCAACTGCCATCATAAATACTACAATAGAAAAACATGAATGGACAAAAAGGACAAGACTAACTTAAAATAAAATAAACGTCCGGAGGCATGTAGAACCACATATGGGTCTTTGCCACAGCAAGATGCTGCATATTAGGTTGAAATCATATATAAGCATATCTCATGTTGCAGTCTTTGGAACCCTGTGGACTAAATAATGCTATGGAGCCTCAAATGCACTAGAATGTATCCTTTAACGTCAAGATTTATAGAGCATGCTCAATTCATATGGCAGAGCCCTGTGTGACTCAGTGTATCAGTCTTTGTTTTAAAAGTTCATCCAATCGAGAATATTTGTCACTAACAGTAACAACTACACCTATTTTTTGGGTTGTGTTTGTTAAATAAAAACAGAACTCTGTGTATATCCAGTTTTAATTTTTTTTTTCATTTCAACCAGTGGGCTGAATGGAAAGAAAAAAAAAAAAACTCAGATTCCTGCATCCACACAAGCAATGCGCTATTGTATTTTGACAGCGGAGACTCCAACCATCTCCGTGTTAGAATACACTGATCAGCAGCTGATCAATTGCTGGTTTTCTAGCAGGACCATTTAGCAAAAGATGGTCAACAATTGTCTGCTTTTGAACAGATAGGGCTACACACAGATCAAAATTCGGATGGTTCAACTGGCTGAATTTTGATACGGGTAATCCAGTTTAAGTGCACCTTTTAGGAAAAAAATTATAGATGCAGATATTTTTGCAGGAAAAAATTGTGCATTTAGTTATTTTTTTTTACCCTCAAGAGATCAGTGGAACATGGGTGCAATGTTAGGCTCCTGCAGACTCTTCCTCCATCTTTGTGCCTGTATATCTGTACAAGCTTTCAGTTAGAAAGCATCAATAGACTACAGGTGCGCCGATTACTGCACTTGTATTCCATTGAAAACCTAAAAGTCCATCTGCTGCAGTGGCAAACGGGACGTGTAGTTTATTAATTCACAGATAACTGTGAGCAAAGGAAAAATGGCTGCAGGGGAACATCCACACGCTGTCACAGGAAGGTGGGACTTTGGGGGTAGGAATCGGGTGCTTAGGAACACATTACATGTTATAACCTGAACATGGCTATAATGTGTTCCTAAAGGTGAATTGATCTTTTAAGTGAATCTGTTATAAAGTAAAAGAAGCATCAGATTTAGAGCCACTGTCACAGAGCTTTTGTTTACTTCAAGTGTATTTTGCATTCACATACATACCTAATGGAATGGGAAACCTACTTGGTGAAGGTTAAAGGAATGAATTTCTAAATGCTTTTCACATAGGATTTTGGCATTTGACAAGATCAGAGAGGGGATCAGAGGTCCAGCATTTTTTTTGTCGGATCAACTTCCTGACCTTGCAAACTATTTCCCAGGCTCTGAGGGTACAGTATGAGGAGGGCAGCTTTCAGTAGATAAACCTAAAACAAGGGGGAAAACATAAATCTTTCATATAAATAAGCCTGGACAGATATCATTTGAGTCCTGATTCCTCCAATTAAAACGGATTTTATTTAAATGTAAGAAATTTGGTGCTGTTTAATACACCCCACAAATACAGTTAGACATTTAAGAACATGAAACAAAACCATTGATCAGCCAGGCTGTGAGGTGTTTGATGCATGTAATGTGTTTAGCAGAGCTCCAAAATTATGGTTGGCACACAATGTGACATCAGCCATTAGCTAGAATTTTTTTTTAAATCCAATTTGTGGAAGCACAGATTTATGTTTTGGTCAAAGATAACAAAGTGTTTGAGCCTTCAGACAAATTTTCTTGCACTAATATACCCAGATATAAAACAGAGATAAGGTTGAAGAAAACTGAAATTGCCTGGTCTGGTCACCAGGATTTGCCAAGCCCTGGGCATTAGGTTAGCAAAGGAGGATTTAATAATTTGCTCTGTATATGAGGAAAAATGGCAATTTTCCTGTGGAACCTGTGCTGACTGCTTAGCCACAAATAAAGTATCAATCGTAAGCTCCAAGGTTCAGGCCCTCCTAACCCTCTTGTATTGAACTGTATTGTTGCTGTATTGTCTCCCGTTATATTGTAAAGTGCTGAGCAAACTGTTGGCGCTATATAAATCCTGTATAATAATAATAACCACCTTTTCCTCCCCCACCCTTTTTCTGTTTTTTCTTTTTCTACTTCATCTCAATATCCTTTCTCTCATAATCCCTTTCAGAAACCTATAAGAAAAAAAAAATGTTCAAAACCTTTACGAAGGGATCGGTGCAAATCCAACCATCAAACTTTACATTTAAATTTAGGACGTGACACTTTGGGGCATATTTATAAAGCAGTCAGTTTGACATTCATGGTGTTTAATCGTTCCATCTAATTCTAATTCCATCTAAGACCCCTGAAGAAAGATTCACCTATAGTGAATATTTGGTGAATGACATTTAATGCTTTATAAATACACTAAATAGTCTTACAAATGTTTCCTCCCCCTACTGCTGCCCAACCTATGTAAAAAGATCTTTATACGTACTTTTTTTTTTTTTTGTCATGTGATCCGCAGCTCTGGCTCCTCGGTGTCAGTCAGCAGCAGCTGCAGGGGAGAGGAGGGAGTACTGACAATGGCTGGGATGCAGAATCTATGCGTGACATCGTGGCCCTCAGAATTCACAGTGGTTGGGAGTCCCTTCTCGCCCCAACAGCGCTGCTCACAAACATGGGATCACATGACCAGAGCAGAGTAAAATTGTGTAAGCATACACATCTTTTTTTTTTTTTACACCGGTTAGCCAGCAGGGAGGGGACGTTTTTAAAACTCGTTTGTGTTAGACTGGAATTGCATTTTAATATGGATGGTTATTTACACCTTTTTTGTCAAGTAATTTAAAAAATAAATAAAAAGCACCCAAGCAAAAACACAATTGGTGGTAGGTTAAATGCTGCTTGCAATTAAATCATTCCGTTGTTACATCTCTGGGGTAATATCTTCAGAAGTGGTATTTTCTTTAGGCTCCTTGGTTTCATTGCAGTCCTCCAGCTTTCTCTTCTTTGATCCATGCAGTCTGTGGTACTGTAGAAACTTCTCAATAGCATTTATCTGATGCTGTATGGTGGGGCGTGAGCTGCTCTCTGCTTTGCCTTGACCTGAGTCAAGCTGTGCTTTAGTCTGTGCAATGTTTAGGCCTGTAGAATGGGCTCTTGCTGAGTAGCTGAAGCTGCGGGTTTGCTTTTCAATCACATGAAACTAAACAAAAAGAGGAAATGTTAATAACCATACATATATTTATTTTGGGACAATAACCATTTTCTCTCCATTAACATTATCTACAAATACACTGTGCTATGGACCATTGCTTCTTTGATGGATAAGGCTTCACGTTTCTGAAGGGAAATAAATACATGTACAGTAGCCGCTTCAGCGAGTAAACTAATAAAGTGACAATGATTAGAATATACAGTACTTCATGGACTGCCAGTGACCATTCTGCTGTATTTTCATACAAGGAAAAAAAAGACAATTGACTGAGACAGCCTAGCCTTTGAAATTTGGCTTTTTTTTTTTTTTTTTTTTACTGAAAAATCTATCTTGGCACCAAAATACTATGCAGTAATTCATGCTAAATATACATGCCAACATGTTTGCAGTCAATAGAATTAACCCAGCCAAAGGATTCTTTTTTTATTGGTCAAGGATTGCCCTACCTGACTTAGCTAAGCTTTGCAGCAACAGACAAATGTAAACCTGTGATACTGAATGTTTCTTTAGCTGCCTGATTTAAATACTGCCTGCCATATTCTCCTTTGCCAGTTAGACAAATTAGCCCATGTTGCCCTGGCCATCGTACATTAAACCTGTCGAAGGCTT